TTGAATGGTAGGAAGAGAGTTGCAAAAGGGACCCTTGTGTCTATGGATCGGAACTTTGTTATACACTGTCAAAGGCTTGGGGAAGGCAATGCTACTGTATCAGTAGAGACTGTCTTCGATGGGAATGTGGTCGCTATTGAATGAGGAGAGATGGTCGTCGGGGTAAATGTTGTTGTTGCCTTGAAAAATCTTCAGAAGAAAGCAGATGTTGGGGACAGCGCAAGTGCGACGCATGTTCCCTCCGTGGATCTTAAGAACCATGCTACATGGATTCAGGCAAAGGTGTTTCTAAACAACCCCGAGGGGGAGGTGGTAGCTGAGGGCTTAGCCACAGTTGTCGATCCAAGAGATGCGGTTGCTAATCAAGAATTGGGCTGGGATGATATTGGAGTTGCGGTTTTAGAGGTTGTTGACACAGAAGAAAACAGTCTGACTATTGGAAGCATTGTGCGGTGGAAATTGAGGCACTTAGTGTTTGAGAATGTGAAGGATTCACAATCAAACACCACTACAACTGATGACAGAACATCTCTTCATGGGAAAAGAAAGTACACCTTCCTAAAGCGCAGCCAAAGGGATCTGAGCAACGAACCGAAAAGGCAGAAAATGGCGATGGAAGTTCGAATGGTCTCGACAGTTGCTTGTTGCAAGAGGAGGTGCTGTCAACATGCTGATTGGGATGCTATTGAAGAGGAGAGAGCAAGATACAAGACATTGTCCTGGAAGGCAGCTCGCAATTTTGTGTATGAGGCATTACAGTCATCTGTTGATGCTTCAGAACATCAGGTGGGGGGCATGGTCTTCCAGAGGGGTTTGGTCTGCATGAAAGCATGGAGAATCATTTATGGAGTCCCTCAAACCACATTCTACAGAATCAAAACTGAGTTCTAGGAACAAAGGGTTCAACAGGCAGTCCATGGGAACGATGGTACGCACAAAACCAGGGGTCATGTTGTATATAGAGAGGCAATCTTCAAGAGGTTTGTCGAGACATGTAGCGAGCAGCAACCATATAAAACCCGCCTCTTGGAAGATGGAACACGAGACACCCAACGAGTTCTCCCTTCCATGTATACCAAGGGGGCCATATTGGAAGATGTGAATCGGGAACTCCAGAGTAATGGCTACAGGAAGCTGAGCCAATCTAGATTTAGTAGATTGTGGAGCAACAGGTTCAGGGATGTGAGTATAGGAAAGTACTCCAGCTTTTCAAAGTGTGACGAGTGCACTGCTATCAAAATGGCTTTGTCGAAGAATTCTTGTAGCGCTCAAGAGCGAGAGACGTTGGTTAGAAGGCGGCTCGACCACAACATCGAGCAGAGAAGCTGCAGGATTGCATATTATCATAACAGGATTCTCTCCATGGAGAGACCTGACTCTTACCTCTGCATCATCCACGACAAAATGGACCAAAAAAAGACGTGCTTACCTCGACTCAATCCTGCCCCCAAGGCAATCTCTTCATCCATGCAGCTGCCTGTGTCTCTGTTTGGCATAATCGCTCATAGGCATGGTGCCCAGAACTATGGGAACTTCTTTGTACCTCTATGGGGTGGCGGGGGTGCAAACATGATGATTGCGTCCCTAGCAAAACACTTAAGGTCTCTGCAAAGTGCGCAGACTGAGCTGAACGGCCAACCCTTGCATAAGGCCCTTGTCGATCAAACCCCATACAGGGTTCAGCTGGAGGAGGAGCAAAGGCTTGCAGTATCGCGTGGGGCCCCATGCCATCCCAGTGAATATGTTGGCTGTCAGATTGTAGGGTTATCACGTAAGGCCTCATGCCATTCCGACGAGGCTGGTCGCCCAGTGAATGCACAGCCTCATCCAAACGAAGCAGAATCTCAAGGAAGTTCTTGCGGCCGATGTGGCCTTCCACCCCATCTTCTGCTCCAAACAGACAATGCTGGCAGTGAGAACAAAAGCATGTACGTCTTTGCGTACTTGGTGATGCTTGTTGCCAAAGGCATATTTGAAACGGTTACACTTGGCTTTCTCATGGTTGGGCACACTCATGAAGACGTCGATGCCATGTTCAGTCACCTGGCAAAGTCCCTCCGGCGATCCAATGTCCTCACCCTCCCACAACTCTACGATGAATTCCAAAATTGCATCAAAGGCACTGTTGAAGCTGCACTTCTGACAGAGGTTCCAGACTTTAAGGGGTTTGTAAGAGGCTACATCAGGGATGGATCCGAAACGCTGATTGGCCACTCCAAGCCTCTTCAGTTTCATTTCAGCATGTGTGACGGTGCTCCAGTGATGAGGTACAAGATGAGAGAATGGGACACAGTGTGGCTGCCAGTGGACGGCATTGAACTCTTCAAGAGAGATCCCATAACTGGGGAACTTATGATTCCTCAGGGTTCCCCACGGCCGATGCACCCGGATGGACTCAAAGACCAGGAAAGTATAGTGGCCGGGATTAGACAGCATATTGCCTTCTGGAAGAGGGGGTTGGTGTTTGGTGGAGAATCCTATTTTCAGAGGTGCAATCCTTTGCTCGAATACTGGGAGAAGATTATATCTGCTATCCAAAATGGGCCGGTTGTATATGAAGAATTGGAAGAGTCCTTTTGGCCAGAACCTAGAGCACCAGATAGTAGCGGAACAATGTCCTCTGGAAATGCAGTGACAGATAACGATGTTGAGGATCACTATTGTGGGCCGAGGAACAAGAAGCCGGATTCAGCATTCAATCCAGTACAGGTCTGCAAAGGAATGGTCGTGCTTGTCAGACCCAGTAATAAAAAACAAATGATATGGGTGGGGTGCTGCATCACTGATGCAGAGGAGGACGCGGAAACTAACTCCTTCAATGTAACTGTGGAGTGGTTCAAGCCAAGTTCTAGATATACAAAGGATTGCCTAGAAAAGAGATAGGTGCTGAATCCAAAGGATCCCAGCATGAGCATATCGGTGGATAATGTTGTGCATGGTTGGATGCAGAAGCAGAGTGCCACCATCACCTTGCCAGACCATGCAAGAGATGCAGCAAGAGCATTCATAACCCGGGTTCAAGGTGAGATTCATTAATATTCCTTTACTAAGTTTCTAATGTATTTTATTTCAAGGTGAACAATCCGAATCTGAATCAGAGGAGGCGTGATGGCATGTGGCCTTACGCCATTCCTAGGTGAGATGATACAAATAACAAGTATAAATTCTTAGTTGTTCTAGCAAATCTTACTTAAAGTTTAAGGTGAACAAGCCGAATATGAATTCATCGGATTGTTATAACAAATTGCGAGGTGATGGCATGAGGCGATACGCCATTTGAAAGTGGTAGCCATTCTTATATGAGGTGAGTGAAATATTTATTAGAAATACCTCATTCAATTGTGCACTTCTAAGTCTTGGTCCACTCAGTATTGTTTGCATGTTTTTATTTTAATTCTTTCTCTAAAATGTTATTTAGCATGTGGCTTCATGCCATTGCTCTCCACAATCATGCATTGAATTTTTCTATCCTTGCATAATACTTCTCCATATATATAGCATGTGCGCACATGTGATATGGTTCATTAGGCCTGATATAGTGTGTGAGGTAAAACAAAGATGATGTGACATATGCATTTACCAATCACACGTGCATAAATCTAATAATATGGCGTGTGGCCCATATTAATGGCACATAAACCCATATTGTGGGCTTACATGCTTTATATACCATCATTCCCTTGCAGCATGTGTGTTGGTTTCCTTTTATAACACAACGAACTCCATATTTTAGGGTGAAGAGTGTTCTCATGGCAAGCACAAAATCTGTAAGTGAGGCAGAAAAGGAGACGGAGAAGGAGATAGGTGAAGATGTAGAATATATAAGTCTTCCAAACTCCCCGTACTATACTCCAGGTGATCATTTTTCTGAACAAACGGCAACATTAACAATTATCGAGAACGCCCCAGTAACGTCAGAGACAACAATCCAAAGCAAAACAACTGACCCGGAGAAGGATGATAGTACCGCTGAGAGTACCAAAAAGGAGGTGTCCACTAGCGCTTAGGCTTATAATGGCGTGTGCCCTCATGCCATTTACTTGATCACCAAATACCTTTTTCCCTTTGCACTAGTATATCTTAATACCAGTCTGAGAAATAGAATGGCATGTGCCCTCAGGCCTTTTACTAAATCACCTTTGAAAGAAATGCAAGCCTCTATGTCGTAAAAAAAAGGTACTAGAGAAATTCCTTAATAATATGAATGTTATTTAGTTTCATGAAAATACACTAAGGGTCAAATGAGTTAAATGACTTCTCCAGACTAGCAATGCCTCTTGCTACACCTTCACAATTAGATTTGTTAGAAAAAGATAACATTGAATAATATCTAAATGTTCTCACCATTAAGTTATATGTCTGGCTAATAGGAATGACGTTCATCTTGGAAAGCTCACCACACGCTCAATGAACAAACAAATAGTGTGTGCGCGCATGCCATCGCTCTTCTTTAGCTTCAGATTCGGCTTGTTCACCTTGACAATGAGATTTATTATACAACTAGATAGACTCAGTCTGGACATAAAGTCACCGCGCTAGTCACCATGCCCCAGATATGTCTAGCCCCTGAACAAAAAACATATAATTTCACGTCATTTTCAAATACTTGAAAATTTGTACCTAGTCCCATTTTACTGAATAAATCCCACTTTAACGAAATAGAGCATACATACCCTTTAATCACTGCATGCACTCCAGTGTTATCCCCACAGATGAGCCTCGCGCTTGCACATCATCCTGGTCTGCCAAGTGCTCAAAAACAATGGAATCCACTCCAGAAGCACAGTAGTAAGGGCCTTTCTTGAAATCCGACTTGTAATCCTGGCGGGAATAGATCTTGGCATGAACAGCTTCACAGGCTTTCACAAGCTGATTCATAACCCTCTTTGTCGCTGCCTTCCTCTTCCTCTCTGCCATGTTCATCTCCTCTTCCTCTCCGCCATCTTCGTCTCCTTGCTCTCCGCCAGCTTCGTCCATCGCCCTAACCCTAAGCTTCTAACAGAAGACTTCACAAACCCTAATATTCAAATTAAAAGGTTTTCGCGCGATCAAATTAAGCTTTCGCGCGGAAAAGTTTAAATCTTGATAGGATCAGTGGATCAATTGGTAAGAACGAGGAGATCCTAGGGATCGAACTCTCTAGGCGCGGACAATGCTGCTGATGCCCGAGCAAATCGTAGAGAGGCTGTCCTGCTGGAAGCTCAGGGCGCCCAGATAGCTCCCCAGCTCCTGCGCAACGCGGAGCCTCTCCAGCTTCATCGAGACAAGGAGCTCCTGGTTTTGCTGGGCCTGGACACCCACCTTGGCCGCCAGATCGTCCCTCTCTTGCCTCGCCTGCCGGAGATCCTCGTCCAGCATCGAGATGTGAGCGTTGGACATGTGGAGGCTCTCAATCAGGGCCTCGTGCTCGTCTTTGCTGCTCGACTGGAGAGTAACAAGACAATGGTTGTGAGGTAGAGACTGGCTAGCACGTAGAGGCAAACCTCCAGGGCTGAGAGCTTGGCGGTTAGTTCGCGGAGCTGCGATTCCTTGCGTGCGATGGATTGTTCCATGCAATCGTTTTGGATTTGTAGCTCGTTTTTTGCCTTTCGCTCCTGTGAGGAAAATATAAGCTTTTCGCTATCCCAACATGTTTTCGTTAGGTACCTCGGCCTCCAGGGAGAGTTTGAGCTCGTTGTTGGCTTTCAAAAGCTTGCTGTTCGTGCGGGAGAGATCTTTGAGCTCCTGCTTGTGTTTCTCTTCCTGTAATTGTTATGTCAAACGAGGGAAAACATTTTTGTAACTTTTTAAAGTTTGATTACCTGCAATTTCATCGACTGCTCCAACTCTTTGTGGATTTTGTGATGGCTGGTATTTTTATCTGAGAGTTTTTGGAGCTCAGTGTTGTAGTTTTCTTCCTGTAAGAAAGTAAAGCTAGTAAACCGTGCGTCTTGGAATGAAAGCTTTACCCGCAAGGAGGCGGACGATTTCAGTTGCTCGTTTGTCCTTTGAAGCTCCGTGTTCGTGTTCATCAGTTCATGGAGCTGTGTCTTGTATTTCTCTTCCTGAGAGGATTTGCTCGTTAGACCTGTCACAGTTTAGAGTGAATCATATACATTCACCTGAGCGAAAAGCTTCTCCTCAAGTAGTTGTTTTTGCTCCACGGCTGCGTCTAGCTCTTGTTTGTTCTGGCTGTGTTTTCTCTCCAGCTCATCGAGCTTGTTTGCTGTTTCATGTTCCTGCAAATCAAGCATAAATCAATCCGTTCCAATGAACAATTCACACCAGTACCTCAAGCTTCGCAGATTTAAGTAGAGAATCCAAGCGTCCCTTGTTCTCCAAGAGAACAGTGTTTTCGGTCACGGTAGTAGTTAAGCGACTGCCAATTCGTACATTTTCTTCCGCCAGCTGGTCCATTTCCTCTTTCTGCATCACATGCTATTAGTACCATCACGGTAATACATGGATTTTACCTGACGAAGATTACACGCATTTAGCTGTTTTAGCTCACTTTCTAGACGACTATTTTCTTTCCGTAAGTCAGCCACTGTCTGGTTGAGATGCTGGTTTTTTGTTATAATTTCATTAAGCTGTTGCTCCTGCACAAAAAATAATAAAAATCACAAAAATCAAAAGTCAAAAGTCAAAAAAATTGTTAAACGTCTGGTAACCAATTACCTGCAAAGTCCTACATTCACGAAGGCGATTGTTTTCTGACCGAAAATATTCCACCTTTCTGTTAATCTCGCTATTGCTATCGAGTAGCACATTTAGCTTTCTAGTCGCGTCCGCTGCTTCTTCACTCTGGAAAAAAACAGTGACATTTTATTTAAAAGAAGACGAATTCCTACCTTTGAATCAAAGCGGGATTGAAGCTCTTCAAGCTGGAGCTGTAGTTCCTTTACCTGAAACTCCATCTACAAGCACAACCAGCATTTAACTTTCACGTACAAGCAGCAAGACTTACAAGCTCGGTCTCGTCGGATTTTACACAAGGTGTGTACTCTGACGTAGACGGAACTGCTTGGTCTTCTGTGTTTAAAGTTGCCCAGTCGTCATCGAGTTCTTGGTTTAGGCGCGTCCATGCATCTTCATCGGCAACATTTGGTTTCTCCTTGGTCGTTGTTTGTTGTTCGTCACGAGAATGCGACGGAAATGGTGTACTTTGAACCTCCCAAAGATCATCAGCATTTTTTTCGAGAAGGGATTCAAATGCAGGTAAAGGTGTGACTACTCTGCCTCTATCCCGCCTAGTAGAGATTCGAGAGCTGTCCAAACGTGTTAAAGGGCTCCGAAAGCATTCCTAGAAACTAGCAATAAGTACACACAAAACATGATCGTAACCAAAACCTTAGCTGATGCGTCCAAAATCCCTTGTTGCGGGGACCATGTCTCTCGGCGAGTAACCTGCGGAAAAAATGATTTCAGAAGAAAATGACATAAAAACCAGGGACAAACCATCTTCATAGCATTCGAATAATCATCTCGAGCTGCTGAACTTAAGACTAAAGAGCTCAGATTTTCAATCTTTTGTTCTTGCTCTTTTATTCTCCTTTCACGATCCAGCTGGGCTGCTCTCTCCTCTTCTAGCTCCAGCGCAAGTTTCTCCTTCTCCAATTCGTACTGTAAAACAAAAACAAAAGTCAGATATCTGTGGACTATAACCACAACGCGATCGGCTTTACTCAAAAATGCCATAGAAAAAACCTTCAGCAAGTCGTTGCGTAGATTTAAAAGTTGTTTTTCGAAATCATCCGAACGTAGCCCCTGCAATAAGTTTTCAGGACACAACTAAGAACATTAAGAGCGAAACATACCAACAACTTTTCACGAAGCTCTTCAATTTCTTTTTTCTGCCGCTTAAGAAGAGCTGCATCAGTGAGTATCTACAAAAACAGGAAATAAAAAAATCGTGAAAAGGCTGGTCAGCTGCAACTGCGCCTCCGGAATCAAGGAGGCAATGCCAAAGAGCCAAGTAAAACATACCTCATTGACGTGCGCGCATGTTGCAACTTTTTTCGCTCTCGAGGCAAATTGAAGCGTTCCCTTTGTTTCGTCTATGTGTATCTGAAACAGATGATACGAAACTTTGAGGCACTGAGCCGTTGACGTGTTACCTCATCCGGTGTAATGGTACAAATAATAGCCGTTTTTGCGTTACCGTCTAAAGCGGATTGAAGAATGCGCGTCAGTTTGCTGTCCCGGTACGGTATATGACCTCTATCATTGAAATATGTGAAAAAGATGAAAGCTAGGAGGAAAGTGTTACCCTTTTCCTGGACCCTCGCTGAGCTTATTGATAACAGTTCCAAGAGTCATGAGACTCTTGTTGATGTGTTGTCCCTCCTTAAGTCGAACTCCTCCAGCTCCTGTTTTTGCAACACGTTCAGAACCGGCTAGATCTACCAGGTTCTGAAAAGAACAAGTTATAGTGCAAACTTATAGATCGTAACATTCCAGGCTTACCAAAGTAGACACTCGAACAGAGTCCGTATTTCTGTTGTTGTCCCTGCTTTCAATGACCTGTGTGAATGTGACACCACTTAACCACCATTCCAGTGATTCACGATACATACCATTCGAAATATAGAATGAGATCGACTACTGTAACTGTTCATGTTCGTCTCACCAAAATGACGATGTGCTGCAATACCATTGACAATGTCAGTACGCCTCTATAGCGTTCCGAGTACCTTCTCCAAGCTTTAAGAAATCAAATACTTGGTCAGGACTGTTAACAATTTCCTCTCTGAGTCCAGCAACAAACAACCCCTTCTGTACAATGAAGTGTAAGAATGTGAGAAACACTTGCAAATGTTACCTCGAAATTCTCGTGTATTTGTAGTTTCCTGTTCTCGGGAGCTAAGAGGTCGTTGATCTCTTCGTTATAAATCTCCATGTAAGAAACGCGAACTAGGAACTCCCTGCTAGAATTCTAAATGAACAGAAGTCAGCAACTGATAGTTCCGAGTTTCGAGCTAGCAAACCTGGGATATGCTGTCAAAAACATCTCGGATAGCTAAAGGAATGATACCAGGATGACTATCAGAACCTTGCATCGTGTAAGTCTTCCCGCTACTTGTTTGCCCATACGCAAACACAGTTCCTGGAGAAAGAAAGCGTGAAGCGTGACTCAATAAATGCTTGAATTGGCCTACCGTTAAATCCTTGCAATGCCGAAATGACAACTTCTTTGGCATGGATGTCGTAGACGTCAGAGTTCTTAGAATTCGATCCAAACAATTGATCTGCCCAAGTAAGTCTTAGAATCCAAAAGCTAGAAGACTAGAAAGTATTTACCAAAAGCGTAAGTGTAGCCGGAGAGTGGCGCTCCATAGCAGTTGCACAGTGAAAGCTTCTTTTCCTGTTCCTCAACAACCCAATGATTCCCTTTGACGAGCTCCTCCTTCGATGGAGGTCTCACACGGATCGCTACCGAGATTCTCTCCATTCTTCCGACGGCTATGGCGATCCCTCAGCTGCTGGATCACGACCAGTCCCCCGATCACAATCCCGTGTCAGGAGCTCCAATGCGGCATTACACTAATCCTTTTCACCCGCTCCTCAAGAACAGGAGGAGGATTTCATACCCGGGAATGTCGATCGCGCAGATCAGTGGAGAAGAATGGCGCCGCGAAGATCTTTCCCCCGAGCTAGGGCTTGTAAACCCAAAACTCTCGGGGTTCGAAATCTTAACGGATACATGGGCTCATACCGTACAATGGCCCAAAGCCGCATTTGGCATTCGTAGGAGTATGGCCAAAACTGACAGCGGACGGCCCGCAATGCGCCACGTATTACCTTCTAATCTAACGATGGCGATAGCTCTGCTTGGGCTTGCCCTTCTCGAGCTAGCTGCTGGATTGGGTGGCTATGGCGCTTTGATCCCACGGCTGCGCCAAGGGTTTTGAGGTAAGATGCGCCTCGTCTGTTCTTGCCGATCGCGGCATCGCCGCGAGGGTTTCTCGATCCTGCATTGTAGACGCTAGATCTAGAAATTCGCAGTTTGTTGCGATCCATGCATTCTGACGGATTCGCTTGATCAAGGGCGCATTCTCGATGGATCTCAGGAAGGTTTTCGACCAGACTGTTCGAGATTTGTACGTCACATGGAACTTCTTCTTTCCCTTTTTCGTTTGATTCATTGAAATTTTTTGTAGGAGGAGAGAAGTAAACAAAAAGGTTTTGAAGGTTCCAGAGATCGAACAAAAGGTAACAGGCTCTCGTATTTTTTAATTCGGGCTCGTTAGAACAGAAGTCGGTGTTTTTCCTTTCCTTGCCATAGGTTCTTGATGCTACAAGTAACGAGCCTTGGGGACCACATGGAACTGCTATGTCCGAAATCGCTCAAGCAACCAGAAACTTGTAAGCTCTCCTTTGTTTTTCCAGGAGTTTTCATGTTTAAATGTCTCTTTTTGCAGCAATGACTATCAAATGATCATGACGATACTGTGGAAGAGACTGGCCGACACAGGAAGAAACTGGCGTCATGTGTACAAAGTGAGAGTTTTTCTCAAGGTCTTTGCCAAGTGATGGTCTTTTGTCTTGCCAGGGATTGACACTTTTCGATTTTCTTGTTGCTCATGGAGCTGACAGAGTCATCGATGAGCTGCGAGAAAACATCTACCAGATTCAGGTGCGTTTTCTAGTTCTAGAATTCAGATGTGATATTCACTTTGCGTCATTTGCCTACTACAGGGACTGGTGGACTTCCAATACGTAGAACCAAACGGAAAGGATCAGGGTGTGAATGTCCGCAAGAAAGCTCAATCTTTGGTTTCTTTAGTGAATGACAAGGAAAAAGTTCGCGAAGTTCGTCAGAAGGCCTCCGCAAATAGAGACAAGTAAGTTTTCTGGTCTTTCTTCTTTTCTTTTTGTGAATCTCTTGAGGATTACAACGCAGGTATCAGGGTTATTCTTCCACCGGCGGCATATTTAAGCCCAGTTCTTACTCTAGCACTGGATCTAGAGGCTTTAGTGACTGGGATGACGACCGAAATGGTCACGGACGAAATGCTGGTGACAGATTTGGGAGTACGTATGATGACGATCGCTATGGAGATGAACATAGTAAGGAGAGCGATAGATACCGTGACGACTGGCGTCATGCAGACCGGGAGGATTTTAACAATGATGAGAACGATTCAAGGTAACTCTAGTGTACTGAGTGTAGTTGCGAATGTTTTCTTTCTTTGCAGAAGCCCAGCCCCTCCGAGCTACGAAAGTTCTCAAAAAAAGTATATGTCCTGGCCTTCCAATAATACTTATCTAAAAGCCATCGGATTGCAGGAACACAGGTGCTGCCCAATCAATGAACAAAGCAACCAGCGCCGACGATGACGATGACTTTGATCCCAGGGCCTCTGGTAAATGACGTAAATGTTTTCGTGCTTTCCTTGGTTTGCACTAACGGGACTCCCATGCTTTTGCAGCTCCAGCTCCAGCCCCGCGTGCTCCTGTGGCTCCACAAGTTGATTTTCTGGGACAACTAGATTTTTTGTCAGCGCCAACGCCAGAGGTGGATCCCTTTGCAAGTCCTGAGTTGGTCTCTGGACCGAAAACTGTGAATGTAAGTTGTTTCTTGTTTTCCGACTTCTCGCAATACTGAATTCTTCTGCAGCAATCCACTGCCTCAAATCTTTTCGACTCCGATGCATTTTCCAGCGATTTTGGTGCATTTACGTCCGCCTCCACGGTGCCGACCACTACGAGCAAAACAGATCTCTTTGCTACCGATCCTTTTGCTCAGCTCAACAAACCAGCGCCGGCCAACGACAGCGTTGCGTCCCTCAACTCTTTCGACGCGTTCGAAACTCTTTCCTCTCAAGCACCAGCACCGGCTGCGGCTTCTTTCAACGCCTTCGAAACTCTTTCCTCTCAAACACCACCTCCGGCTGCAGCTTCTTCCTTCGTGGATACAATCGTGCCTCCAGCTGCTCAAACGAAGCAAGGCTTCCAGACGAAATCATCGGTGTGGGCAGACTCTTTGTCATCGGGCCTTATTGATCTAAACATCACAGCTCGTAAGTGTCAACTATTATACACTGATGGATAACCGGTGTCCTTTCTACTTTCGTTTCGCAGCCAAGAACAATCCATCCTCGGAGTTTGGAGATTGGACAGGAGAGCAAGCTTTTAGCAGTGGTTTCAAACCGATGGGATCTGGAAGTGGTCTTGGCCTCGCGGGAGCAAGCGGCCTTGCTCCGCCGCCGCCACCACCAACGATCGATCCATTCGCATTCGGCACGACAACCATCTCCACAAACGCAACATTTTCCAGCATGGCTCCTCCTACGACTTCGAATCCACCAACACAAAACGATCCTTTTGCAGGCCTGATAAAGTAAAACAGTATTTACAAGAAATACAAATCAGCTGTTTCTTGGTATGGATTATTCTTTTCTTTCATTCATTAGTTACTCATTTCCTTTTCAGGATTCAGAGAAAATCTGTACGCCATGTCATAAATGCGACCTTCCCTATGATCAGTTTCGCGATATGTTTAATGTTCTCAAGTACTTCCGATGCGAGCGACATGTTTATTGAGAGAAAGGAAAGATTAGTGCGAGATTAGTTTTTATATGGCTGTGACGAGACGACTATATATGTTCGTGATCCAAAGCGTGTAAAATAGAAGAACTGAAACTATTTTACCGGGAGCCATGGTCCTCATCTACAGGCCTTGCTGCTGCTATTGTGTTTCTTTTTCTTCCCTTCCATTTGCATGGCTTGCCTGTTTGAATGGAATTGAAATCTCCTAGCGTTGATGCTTAAGCCAGCTCGAGCTTAGAGCATTGTCGAGTAACAAAATCCTTGCACTCGTGTTTTACTTGATGGAACCATGCATGTGTTGCGATTGTGGCCGAATTAAGGGATCATCTTCAACCTGGAGGGTTTTGCACTGACTGTTCAAAGATTTTAAGGAGTTCATCATTGTCCCAAACCTGTAAGCTGTGGATGCGTTATTTGGCACTAAAAGGACTCCCGTAAAATCATGAGGAACGAGGTGTGCTGAACATTGAGATGCAAGAACTGTAAATCAGAATGTCTGTCCTGGAAAAGGAGAAATTAACGTAAAAGATTTCTCGACATTCTTCCAAAGCAACGTCTTACCACTTGGGCTACCACCTCGAACCAATCAGTCGTGCGATTAGAACATAGCAAAACAGAAACACACAACACGCACACACACACGCACACCGACGGACGGACCTTGGTGATTAGAGGCGGTCCTTTTGTCTTGTGTTCATCCCTGAAATCATAAACCCACAGCAGCCGCAGCTTATAAAACACAAAACAAACCATGGGAGAGCTTTTCGATCCAATATTCTTTGGTGTCACATCAACTATATCAACTGGCGCACTGTCCTGCAAGTCTTCGAGTTTAGCAAAACCATTGAAAACTCGCTAAAATTCCTGGGAACTTACCAGAGATGGAAGTCTGAGCGGCAGCACCGATGCTTCACAATTGAATCCTGTGCAGCACATGGACACACTCTTCATACCTCTGCTCGATTAGATCCAGCCAAGACTGCCCTTTGTTTTTTCCTCTTCTGATCGCCAGAAGAACTTTTCTTTTCTTTTCTGCTAAGACTCTCGTTCATGAGATCATGAGCGCTCCCTGCACAGAAGAATCCAGATCTTGAAAAGAGTAAAGCAATGGATGGACAAAGAGAGCAAAGAGCGGGGGGAACAAACTTCTTTTAGTGAGAAGAGATTCTAACATTTTTTCCCTCTCCAGGCAACTTGGCAAGGAATGGAAAGACACGATCTGTCGGTGGAGGGCCGAGTGATGTGAGCTGCACGGGCATTTAGTGGTCAGGTATACCAAATCTCAAAGTACAAACACGCAGATCTAGATGACACACAAGAATGCCAGGAATTCTCACGGCTTGATTCTTTTCAGGCAAACTCATGAATGAATTTACATCTCACAAAGCGATCTCAATCCCAGCACTCGCGACTCCACCAATCCAGCGCAGAATCGCCATCCCATCCCAGCGAGCGCGCCCAAGAACCCTAGAGCTGGCTCACGAGAGAGAAATAAACAAATTAGAATTTTGAGCGGGAAAAAACTTAAGGCAGCCGCGTGGCACGATCCACGCCATCTGCGGACGGGAAATCGACGGCGACGTTCCACATTCCAGCCGTACGCTCCCTACGTACGCCCTCCGAGTCTATGGGAGATCGTGTTGTCTCCTCCGCATCTTCGATATCTCTTTCTCGTAAACACCCTGTGCGTAAAGAGAATGTAAAAAAGCTGTGATTCTGATTTTCTTACCTCCATAAGCTTCTCACGAGCTCGTTGCGGTACTTGTTCTTGTCCTCGTAAACTTGCATCGCGTCCTTGAGCTCTTTCTCCTGTGATTTTTTCTTTGCGATCAAGAGAATCGAGAATTCGAGCTTTGGAAGCTTACCTTGGATTCACAAAGTTGTTTCAAGTAGACTAGCTCCATGTCGGCCGCATCGATTCTCGACTTTAAGTCTAGAAGATCTCTACGAGCTCCAAATTCCGAGCTCTCCGGATCCTGCAAGAAAATTGTACGTAAGAAAATGTTCGACCAAAGATCCAGAAAAAGAATGCTCCTGTGAAAACCAAGAGCAGAAAAAAACAGAAGGGAAAAAAAGAATACTTGCATGTCTTTGCTGTGAAGATGGTGGCCTGTTATAACTCAGCTCCCGGAGAAGATTGATCGCCTCCTTTTGCTGCATGAGCAGGAGCTTGATCGAATCCGAAAAACTGGCCGGAAACGATCCCTCCATCGATCCTCCTGCCGCCGCTGCCGCCGCTGGCGATCCGCCCACCCCCGCTGCTGGAATCTGTCCCGAGTTGATCACGCAAAGCTTCTTTTTGGAATGCGAATGCTTGCTCGTCGTGGTGTAAAACTCTCGAGGACTGCTCTCGGCGGCAGTCTCCCGCCGCGGATCCGTCGAGGGTGACGATCCATCCAAGTTGTTCGTGGAGGCGCTCTTGCTGGGCGGGAGGAGCACGCCCGGATCGAAGCTGTTGTTCCGCAAGATCCTCTTGTCAGTGCTGTTGATCACCACCACCTTGTTGTTGGCTCCAAATATCTCCTCGTCGGTGGCACCAGCCACGGCATCAACGATCAAGTCGCCTTTGCTTGCATGGAGCGCGAGCTCAGATCCCGAAGAGATCCCGGAGCTGAAAGTCGCATACTTTGGATCGCTCCCAAAGATGGCCTCCATCTTGGAGAACCACTGCCAGCCAGAGCTGGAGCTAAGGCTTCCAGTCAACTGGATCATCTCCTTCTCGCTCTTGTACTTGCGCTTGAGATTGCTCATCTTGTAGGAGCACTGCTTGGCGTTCTTCCACAGCTCCTTGGAAGAATTGCTGGCGGTGGCGATGGTGGTCAAGTTGCTACTGTTTGGAGGAGTGATGGCGTAGCATCGCTCGTTGACGCTGCTGGCGAGCTCCTCCCATTCCTCTCCCCGGAAGTTCCTCCCGTTGATCGCAAGCCTCTTCTCGCGGAAGACGTCGAGGAGCACCGAGGTGGCGTGGGTGCTCCAGCTTCCCGCATCTTTGGAGCCTTCTTTGCTGTCGGCTTGATCGGCGATGGCGTCGGAGGATTTGTTGAGTTGTTCTAGTTGCTGCTCGGCATGGTGGTCATGCTGTCGCTGCTGCTGTTGCTGCTGCTGGCTCAAGTTTTGATCTGACAGACTTCTTGGTTGCTGCTTCTCCTGCTGTTCTTGATCGTCTTCGTCGTCGTCGACGTCGACTTCGCCGTTTTTCATCAAGCTGAAAGATGGTGGCGGCGGATCCTGCTGTGGAGTGGTGCTGCTCGAGATGTGTACTCGAAGTTCTATGTGAAAGAAAAAAAATTCAATTTTGTCAACTACAAACTCTGGGAGATCGAAGCAGAAAACGTAAAAACCACAAGCAAACCAGAGCCAAGATAAACATATCTCAGAAAGTAAGCATTTCTTGTAAGAATTCCAGCCATGGACACAGAGAAGTTCCTTTTGTCGCGATTTCCAGAAGTCAACACACAGACAAAGCGAAACAAGGAGTATAGAGCATTGAATCAATCAATCCGGCGAGTATCTCTTCAAGAAAAAGGAGGAAAAACTCACCATTTTTTGGATGGTCTGGCTGCTGCTGATGATGATGATGATGATCATGCTGCTGGA